GCCTGACTGTAGTCTGCAAGCTCGAGATCTCACAGGCCTGCGTTGATTTGCTGATGCAGAACAAACTGCGCAATCCTGTGTGCTGGCGTGGCTGCGTTCCTGCGTGCCGGCGTTTCATGCGTGCATGCGTGCCTGCGTGTCCGCATGCCAGCGCACCTGGCGGCCTGCGTTCCTGCATGCAGGCGTCGTGTCTGAGGGCCTGGCTGCCTGCGTGTCTGCGTCCCTGCGGGCCAGAGTGCTTGTATGATCTTGCGTGCGTCGAGTTAGCACATTTGAATTCAAAGGCAGCTCGTTTGAGCCGGGCTCCTTACAAATGGCTGCCAGTTGTGTGCACTCTGACAGGCAGTAGAGTCGGGCTAAATCCGATCGATGCCTCGGGGCTTACTCCCAAAACCAAGAGCAGCCCTCGTGAACTAGGCTCACGGTGAGTTTAGTTAGTGTGCAGTCAACAGCTCGACTTGATCACACTTTTCTTCAACTTTCTCTGCAATTTCGTCCAGCTACTTTCATACACACGTGCGTTCATTAATGTTTATCTGCCAGCTTATCAACACAATGGTGCATACACGAGCCAGCTGAGCATATGAAGGTAGGTCTATGTGCATTAGTTTTTTGGCAAGTCCAAATGAACGGGCGAGAAGAAATAAGATTCACTTCAATCTCTATTTCCTATGAACTACGCACAAAGGCAGCCTAGGTCACTTCTTCCTGTATCAAGTCTACGTAAAATGTTGACATGGAATCTCATGTCTAAAGCCGGAATGATGCAGAACTTCCAGACAGGTGGGGGTAGGGGCGTCAAGTTAATTGGACTAGTAAAAGGCTCCAGTAAACAGGTTTAATAAAGTTTATAAATAAGAGTGTAGAATGATCTAACTTTCTTTTAATGAGCTATTTCTTGCAACCTGTCCTGAAACAGATATAAGGAAATTGAAACTTAGAATGGGTGTTGCAATTGTGTAGTGATCAAAAGGTGTGCAGAGATATCATATTTTAAGACCCGTTGAGTCTATAAAGTGCGTCATTAACGGTAGTGGAATAGGACAAACAGAACAACCTGCTAGAGTCGTATAACCAACTAAGATTGGGGAGGATGTTCTTAAGTAGGACAGGTCCTGCGGCAAAGTCACTTTGCTGCTGCAAGGCAAGGCTAGCCCGATAGATGCGGACTTAACGAAACGGATGCTAGAAGAGTTTGTCTAGGACATGAACATTGTTTGAATTCAGAGTTCCAGCTGACTTGCAGTAGATTTGGCAATAGGTTCGGTATATTGGCGAAATTTAATTGGTTGGGGGAAAGAGAGGTACGACTGAGAGATATTCGCAAGTGGCCTGGACGAAAAATGAGTGTTGGGAGAGAGCTGCAACCAAAGTAACCGTTATAGTAGGAAAGCAGAGCACTAAGGGATTCTTCGAAACCCAGTTTTTCTTCATAAGCAAAGCAAGAATTGGTACTTCCTGCAAGCCGGACTAATTAGGAGAAATCAGAGTACCCAAGGCTAAGACAAGATCTGAAAACGAGACCATGTAAACTAGACTTACTTGGTGTCCTAACGCCTCGTTCTAGTAAACAAACGACAAGGAAATAATATGCTGGGAGAGGAGTAAAGTTGCCTCAAAAACAAAAGCCTCTTCATATCATAATTAGATTTTCAAGACTACCAGTAGATCAGATGTAAGAAGTGTATTCACCTTATTTCGTTAAAACTAATGAAGTAATATGAGATGTATTCACCCAATTCAGTTTAAGGTGATGAAGGACTGGTAGAAAAAGAATTTAACCACAATGCTATGAGTTGAGCTGACGTTTCCATTGAATTTTCACATAG